GCGTTTCGCGACGCGAATATCGCGCGAAGGGTGACGAAAACCGTGCGAGGGCGTTAGAGACCCAGGCTCTCGCTAGTCCCGACGTCACGTTTACGTTCCTTTTACTGCGAAGTAATGGTATCGGCGACCGGGAGTAGGCACCGACGTCATCGACGCCGGCGAAATCCCCGCCGATCTAGTCGAGAGAGAGAGAGAGAGAGAGAGAGAAGGAGGTTCACGCGGCGTTGCAGTTTTATCGCGCTTCCCTTCCGCGCGCGGATATCGCGACGACTCGAGCGACTTCGACCGTGAAATCCCTTGTAATCGTAATGACATAAATCGTAAACGCGGATCATTCACTCCGCGAAAACGCTGCCCAGGCCTCGTCGCTTCCCGGAGGAACTATCCGGTTGCTCGTAAACGACTCGCCCTCCGCGAGCTCCCCCATGCTTTCAAGGTGGATTTTTTCTACACCTTCTCCTTCCCCCTTCTCTCTCTCTCTCTCTCTCTGCCCCTGTCGCGGAGTATTCGAGACGACGGCGACGACGGGAAGTTTCGACCCGATTTCGCCGGATCGATCTTCGATTAGCGTCCGACGAATGCGCGCGCCCGCCGCGGATTGAATTTACCAGCGACCAGCGACGGCCGATTTTCCCGGGAGAGACGCCGGGATATCGACGTAAATTTATTTAATAGCCCCCGCGAGAGATAAATCTTATATCCGGCAGTGAGTGACTTTCAGGTGTGTATTCTCTCCGTCCTTACCCCGCCGTATAACTTCACATCGCGCCCGCTTCATTTTTTACACCGTGCGTAATCGTAAAGCGTTTCGCTCTCTCGGCGGGTAGGTAGCAATCGTCGTTATCTCTCGTGTACGCTCGCTGATTCTCGATGTTATTTATCCTCGAGTATGCGGCGGATCGTAAAATTGTGTACATATAGATGAAACAAATACGGACTCGCCCCGTGATAGTCCGAAGTATTCGCATAGATATCGCTCGTCCGCTCACTCTCTGGGAACACGTCCATGCGCGATGGAACTCTCGTGGCACGTTAATAAAACCGGATCGTTAATTACTGAATTCCTCATTGATTAATAGCGCCGGAGGCTTCGGAGGAGGGCAGTATCTAAGTGAACCGACAATTTCAGAGAGACGAGAGAAATAGCTGGTCCCTGCTACGGGCGCGCGCGCGCGCGTGGCTCTATATCCCGCGGGAATAATCCCGCGTTTCATAATCGTTTTCGCGCGTTGTCTTGATTTTATTATTTAATATACTCCGGGCTGGAACGGATGTCCTCGCGGGGACGAGCAAGGGAGCGAACGAGCGAGCGCACGCTGATGCCTAGATATCTCGCTTCTGCCGGAGTTTTAATTAATGCTCAAACGCTCTTGAATATTTTACGTAAAAATCGTTCCGCGAAGTCTCGTCCGTTATGCGGATAAATAGGCGTTGACAGCACAATCGATATCAGCTAACAAGCGATTTCAATTACATTTTGTTACCTCTTGTAATGAGGCGCAGTTTAATCATCGTTAAATTACGTGATCGCGCGCGGGAGAGTATATCGCTATTGTGTGCATATGTGTGTGTGTGTGTGTGTGTGCGTGTGTGTATGCATGCGTGTGTCAGTGCAAATTGCTGTTACCGACATTGTGATAAATGTGTACGCCACTCGCGTTTGATACGATGGCACTCTTGCTATTAACGATCTTTATGGTGTCAATCAAATAACTTGGTAACTCGGCCTTACCTCCCGTCATTGATTAATGGTTTGGCCGGGGGATCTTCAGAAAGTTTTGCGGCCTTGTGCGGGGAGGAAATATGATATCCGTAACACGACGCTACCGTGCCGGCGCGTAATCCTCTATTTATAAACCGTCCGGTAATTTAAAAATCTTTAGAAAAATAGTGCAGCTTTATCAGCCTTAAAGTAAATCTGTCCCGGCGTGGGGCGGGTAGCGGAAAGCGCGCCGGCAAAGCCCTACAACTTCTTAGCGTTGTCACGCTACTTTTTCAACGCTCTTTAAATATGATTGATAATCGCCTGGCGCAACGAGCGCGCCACGGGTAACGCTTGATAATCGAGAAAGCTGCTGGATAAGAAGTCGTCCGCGTTTCGCGGACTTCGAGGCTCTCCGAAGGTTTTCGGAACGTCGCTCTCTGCGTCCGATCCATCGTTTTATTGCGTATTATCGCGAGGATTGCCGACACGCGTGCACTCGCGACGAACGATATTTTCGCAGCTTGCCTTTCTGCCTCTGACAGGAAGAAAGCGGAGAACTCGCCCTCGCAAACCACGAACGCGTGCGCAACACGGGGGCGATGAAATGAGACGCGCGTCAAGAGGATGCTATGCTTGGGAAGTTCGCCAGCGAAATACTGACTTCGTTTAGTAAAGTTCACGTCGTATTGGCTCCGCAGAATTATAAATACCTTTAAACGGAGGTACGCGCGAATATGAATTGAAGCTTTGCTTGATGTACGACGAAAATGATTAAAAGTTTCACAATTAACATCTCCAGCTGTCAGTTAGCGTAAATATTTACTTAATACGGGAATTCTGCAGCTTGTACGTACGAAATGTGTCAATGTTTCAATCAGGATAGTTTCAAAGAATATTTTTATACCTTTTCAGTTAAAATCGGAGGTTTAAAAAGATTTGGAAAATCTGCAGAAAAATTTGTATACATTTTGATTCGATTTTTCGTTAGGTGTGAGAAAATAGAATAACGTATATTCATCGCGTTCACATTTTATACTAGAAGAAAAGATTCGCAATCGACCCCCCGAAGAATCATGAATTCTATTCCCTAGCGTGAAAAATTTTCTAATTTAGAAGCATTTGGAAACGTTCACTTCTCACGTTTCCGCCTTAGAGAAAAGTTGTGTGATCGATGCCCTGTACAAGAAATGCAAAAAAAAGTAGCGTAATCGTGTCGAAGTTCATGTGATATAACATTTTGCTTTCACGTTATCAACTTTGACTTCAAGTTCGTCATCGGCTTCGGCGTCCCCTTAAATTGGCGAGCGGCAAATCGCGCAGGGGAGACGATTCGATCGGAATGACGAATGCGATGCCATTCTCCGTAACTGGATAACGGCTATGCTTTTTCAGCTGGAACAATCATCGGTCCCTTGGTTCGGCTCCTTGGCTCGAGCCGTGACTGCGATACGACTGCGAAGAGGCGCATAAATGTCACCGGGCGGCGTGATTCACATGAGAGATTGCACGTGGTTCGACACATCCATAGGGTCGCACGGAGCCGTAAATGTTATTGTTGCCGTTAGCCTTATTACGCTCGCTTTTCCGGAAATATACCCTCCGAAAATCGCTGCATCCCCTATGTCACAAGGAGTTGCACGCGACCATCGAGATTGGGCGTTCGCCCGGAGGACTATAGTACACAACCACGAGGAAATCGTACGTTGTATTTCACAAAGATGGTCGCGAGCAAGCGTTTAACGCGCGTATCGTGTGCGTATCGAGTCACTCGTCGCGATCAAACGTGTTCTTCGCGATTCGTTCGTTGCAATAACTGCGTCATGAAGCCATCGTGAAACCATCGTGAGATTCCCAGAAAAAGAAAAACAACTACGGTGCAGGATGATCTTGTTGGCCGGGAGAAAAGAAGAGGCAAAATGAGCGCGCCTCTGCGCTAAGTTCGAAATGACAAAAATCAAATCGTACGACCGGAACTGTGAGGTTGTCTCACTCCCCTCTTCTTTCGGGAAATTTGCTTTCTCGGGTTTCCTATTTAAAATAGTTGTAACATCCAATGAGTTTTTCAAGAATTCGTTGAAAAACTTGCACTATATGTAGATTTAAATGTGATCTAATTATGGGCGTAATTAGGAGATAATTCGACCATTCGGAAGCTGAGATATTCGCAATTAAAAATGACACTTTTCACATACTCTGAGTTATGTATAATATATATAATAGTTTAATATTAAATATTAACAATATTAAAAGTAAGGAAAAGCTTTTTTCCTTTCTTTGACATAAATTGCGTAAGTACACAAAAATTTCTCTAAACAATTATGTTTATATTTTATAGATCTTGAGCGTCATATATTTTCCTCGCTAATAATGATTTTTGCAGTCTTACAAATATTATAACGTATATATTATAAATAAAACTGTTAGTCTTGATAACGTTGAGACGCATGTGAGCGTCACGCGGCGTGAACGAAAGATCGTGAAAAATCAGTCCGGCAGCTAAAGTATTAATTATAGTTTTTATTTAGTGGTCGCTTTTCCATCGTTTGATAAACAATTGAATTCCCTGTAGTCAGGAGATAAAGTTTGCACAGCTGCGATTCGGTCGATCGCCTCAGTTTGGCTCGACGTTGCGTTACTTGCGTATAGAAAGAGTATTTATGTGCCCGCCCGTGCCGTCCCATTTAGCTTGATCGACAAACTTCGTTCGGTTCTCGATAGCGCCGCGCGTAACTTGTAAGCGCGCTTGACGAGCACCAGTCGCGATAGATACGTCGAACTAATGTACGTTCCAGTTTCACGCTAGTTTTCTACCGACGGTGATGGTTGATCGTGTTACTATCTCAATGTTGCATCGATTTGGTGTCATGACAAGCGGTGTTATGTGACTCGAAAAGTGTCGCCGCCACCACCGTCACGACGCTCTTTCCGTTCGCCGCTCGACTTCGTCTTTCTTCTCGAAGACGTCGATTAGCGCGGCGATACGCACGCAAGTCTCGCGTGTCTGCTAAGAGCTCGCTGATTGCCGATTATTTGCGCTTTTAATCGTGAAATATTTGAACGCTCGAGAAAAGATACATCGGCTACGTTCAGCAGAGAAAGAGAAGTAAACGATTATTGTCTGTGGCTGAAGTTTTTTTTTTAATTTTTGGTAGCCCCGATTAGGATCATTTAAGTGCTCGCTGAGCTATTTTCTCTGCTAAATGTAGGTGTTGTTTTTCCATGAGACTGGAAACGAAAGCCCCGTAGTTGATAAGACGACGCGGGAAATGACGTGGTGTGTTGAATGGGTACTTACGAGGATCGTATGGCGACTCGAAGGTGATGGACGCGATACGCGGCACGTCCTCAGTGATCTCGATGTCCGCGGATTTCCTATAAACGTCGGAGATGGTGGCAGTGCAGCGTAGACGTAAGCGTCCATTGCGGAACATATCTTTCGTCACTCGAAACTCTATCTGCGATTTTGTAGACTTCATGTCGTCCGGGTGAGAAGTTTTGTGATACGACACGATAAAGTGCGGATTGTTGTCTTCGATCTAAAAGAAAGCAGTAGAAACAGCGTGAGGTTTGAACCTGCATGTTCTAAATATTTCCTTCTTTATTGTCGAAATGTTACACAAACACTGTCAACATGTCTTAGCGACGGAATCTGTCGTAAAATATAATCTACATAGAAAAAAGTACTATATTAAAATAAATAATTATTCCAATACCTTTTAGCAAATTTTTATTCGGATCGAGTAAATATTTTACTTGGATAATTTACTCGAAGAATATTTTACTTGGATTAAATAAATATTCTTCGATCCGAGTAAAAATCTATTAAAGAATATTGAAGTAATTTTTTACTTGAATCTAGCACTTTTTCTTTTGTGCACGTATTTATTTCGCAAACAGTGTGCGAATAAATCTCGCAATGGATTTGGCAAATTCACTTCGAGATCCGTTCGTAATCCATTATCATTCCTTAAAAAAGTCGATGGGATTGGGAACATTTAATGTTAAATAATTAATAGTCAGTCTTTAATAATAAAGACTTTTCTCACCCTCTCTCTCATCGTTTATTCTGTGGAATCGTGCGAGTATCGAAATACCTTTCACATTTGCTATCATATTTCACAAAGGGGATTATTGTTGCTGCTTGCTAAGGATATCATGGTGGTTATGTTGCTCTTAATGTAGATGAAGCTTGTCTTTTGTCTCACCCGTCTATCGCAGTTGCACCCTTTGTCTCTGTACTGAGAATAAAGTGAAAAAAATACGCGGGTTGGGGTGAGATGGGTTGAGGAACAACTCGCTCAGTGTTATTACTTTCCAAGAACGAATGTGAATGCACATCGAGTTTAGCTGCAGTAACTCGATTCTCTCTCTCTCTCTCTCTCTCTCTCTCTCTCTCTCTCTCTCTCTCTCTCTNTACATGCACTAAAAAATTTCCACCGATTATAAAACTTAGTTTTGAATCAAGATTCATTCCTCCCAAATTATATATCGGGATTTTATCTTCTGACATATTATATCGTCTCTCATATTTTAAATACGTTTTTGCAGACTCGAGACGCAACAAACCATGGTACGAATTTAAAGATATAAATATCAAAAGATATAAATCTCAAGCGAAAGAGAGAGAGAGAGAGAGAGAGAGAGAGAGAGAGAGAGGATCTCAAAAGAGAGAAAAAGGAAAAAAGTTTAACAAACGCCAAGAAGGTGGTAGATGGATAGGTAATAAAAGATTAACTATTTTTTGCCCACAGTTCGAACGATTTAAATGCTTTAAGTACTTCAAATACGCCAATCTGATTGCCTTTGAGAGTTCTGATATTCTACTGCGTATGCCTGCTCAGTTGACAGTCGCGATAAACGACGTTGACAGACGAATTCTCTTCATTTATTTTGACAATATTTACGAGCGAATCTGCGATACATGCTCATCGTAAAAAATCCAAGGAGCGAAGGGTTAAGATTCGCGGCGCGTCGTGCTGAGTGTCGCACTGAGTGTCGCTCATCGCGCCATTTGTTAACTTAAGACGCGCGTGAATTTTTCCCGAACAACCGTACATAGACATCGCGGCGAAAGTATAAATGTGTGTCGTACGGCTTTCGTAATAAATACACATGAGCGCAAAGGAGAAGGAGGAGGGGGGGCTTATTTTATGTACGACCGAAACTACTCCCGCGAAGAATATATATAGCCGAGAAGAAACGAATTTGTCTTCGATCGTCCGCTACATCACGGGAACAAGAAAACCCGTGGAACTCCAAAGGCGACGTTATCATTTGTAGAACAAACAAGGACATACATCATGTCGGTGGGCGTACAGTGTCACGTACGGATACAGGCTACATCCATAAAGCATAAAGCATAAAGCTGATGCCATCACGGATGCCATCTTCTCTCGCACCTTCTTTTCCTCCCGTCCGTCCGTAACGCGAGAGTGCCGGCGCGGAGTTCTCACCGCGTACGCGGCGTACGTGTCTGCATATAAGCCCCCGGTCTAAAGTGCATTACATACATTCTTCATACATACGATCGAAAGTGGGTTCTGATGATGTTACCAGCCGTCTTTAGGCGTTCTCTCTCTTCCTCTCTTTCTCTCTCTCTCTCTCTCTCCCCCTTCCTCACACCCTCGAAGTGAAGAGAGATTGATTGGCACGCTGATGACGCTATAGAGTTTCGGCGCTTAGATCGCACCCTCGCGCTATTGTCTCTGCCAATGTAATATTCTCCGCTCGCGGCGCATACATTTTCCGCGCGGCGGTCTTGCGGATCCAGCGTTCCGCGAAGCTACTACTACGTTTGTCCCTACGTCTAGAAGCGTATGCCGACGGAATTAATCTGACAGCGTGCATCGTAACTGCGTTCACATGATTATGTACGAAGAGAGAGAGGGTGGGAGAGAGAGAGAGAGGGAGAGAGAAGGAGAGCGGGATTATCGTATAGTTAAAAAGGGACGGGCGGAGGGTGCAGATCGCGACACGGTTACGAAGAATATCGAGGTACTCGCTGCGAGAATTTCGGACGAAAAGGGCTTTACGTACATTTAAATCCGAAAACGTCAAAGCCGAAAGTAAAGTCCCGCTTTATCGTGCGAAGCGTAAATCACCTCGCCGCTCCGTTTTTTGTTAGCGCAGTCGCGCAATATTTACTGTATAATTTATCGCGTAACTTGCTGGGAAACTTTCAAAATGGAAATCAGGCGCGCGGAAAACGCAGTAAAAGTCCGAAAATTACGTTCGGTCTCGGATTTACGAGAACGCGCGTGCCGTGTGACCAAGGATTATTTGCCCGGAATATTCGCGGATGTTTCATATGCCGGAGCAAAGCTTTCCGGTGGAGCGCGGGAAGCAAGGCGGAAATATTGGCGGCGGGAAAATATGAGCGAAAACTTGATTTGAGATAGGAGTGGGACCGAGGTAGAGTTTTCTTGGCAGCGGATCAAGCGTATACTTATACACCCACCCACGTGGACAAATGTATGTGCACGGTTATATAACCGTGCTACGTAAGGAGGCGCGGGAGGCAGGGCGCAGAGCAGTGCGGGCAGGTGGTCAATCGATGGGAACGATTTTCTAACTCGGCGCACGGTTTCTGCATTACGTGGGGATCGTTACTTGATAAGTCTGAGTTTTCCAAATGGACACGTCTGGAACGAAATTCCCGGCGAAAAGGAGATTCCCCTTTCTGCCTTATCTTGGGCTCTCTAATTTCTCTACCTCTATCGGTTTAATTTTCTCCGTCTGACATCTCACACGGCTCCTTCTCGAATTAATACTACGCTCCGACGGTATTTTCAGCATTAATGCGAAATTGTTTTCGGTCGGTGTCTCGCAAAGTTGCGAGAAACGTGGCGACGTCTTCGTCTCTGGGCGAGAGATCGTCGAGAGTTGTTATCGGTAAATGAATCCGATTATAAACGCTATATGAGACGAGGTACGATGGTGCATTCACGAGGAACTAACTTTTGCGTATACGGATCTTCGAGGCTTTCGAAATAATTGATTTTGCTCGCTGTAGATTGATAACTTTTTCGATGATGAAAAGCGGAAAGAACAAAAAAATCGATGCTATCAAGATACGGCGAACTATGTGATATAATTGACGCTTGGAAATTTGTCTCGCCGAGACGCGACGTTGACGTGCGACGTTAACGCGAAACGAACGGGAAAAGGAAAAGCAGCACGCAGGCACTTATAGATCACCGAATAACGGGGGTCAGTGATTGCACGCGGGGAGTCATCAGCGAAGAGTGCCGCCACGATGGGGGAAAAATGTCCCGTTAGGACAGCCACGGAGGAAGTCGTCAACAATAGCGGTATAGCTACGCCCAAGGAGAGTGAGCGGTGACACACGTGTCACGAGCCACGGGAGGGTAGAAACCGAAAATAGAGGGGAGAAACGACGACCCTTGTGCACTTTCGGCCGGGATGCTTTCACCGGGCTGGAACTATTGTTCCTCTCGCCGTCGGAAATGCGAATTTTCACTTACGCTCGTCCAAACGCGCTCGCTCACTGCTTACTCCGATTCGTTTTATTCCGAAAACCGAGCGATTCAATTTCACGCGGCGTTCCGCGAGCGTCTATTTAAAATCGCCGCCCCGCTGCTCATTTGTAATTTTAGACTATAGGCTATAGGACGGAACTGGTTTAATAACCAATTCTTTTCCCGATATCGCGTCGATATTAATATTAAAAAATTCCTAAACATTTCCATTAAAGCATGGCTGCAAATTGACATAGTTTTTATGTACTATCGCGTCGAAGGCACATAGGCGAAATTCTTTTTGTCGTTTTCATCATGAAAAAAGGGGTATTTAAAATACAATTGACGAGGAAACCGTCGAGCGTGACAATACGATTCTCGGTAAATGAAAAGTAATAACATTGTTTAAAATGTTAAATAATTATTGTCCGTACAAAACGGAAATGTGACGCCTTTTAATCATTTGTTAACATAATTTTTCCGAAACAATCGTTTATTACGTTTAGTATTATTCCACCGCAAAATATCCGTAGAGTCCAAAACGTTATTATCGATAATATAATCAATTACGGTGCTGAAAATGTTGCTTGTATAAAAATTGTGATATCACGAGATCGATAATTAAATGTAAATTACTTCACGAACGCAAACCACACACACGAAATATTCACATGGAAGGGGAAAGGGGATATAGAAATATTGCTGAGAATATTATGCTAAATAGAAAACCATTGAGGAAGGATTACTTAATTATTGACGAACCTCATTAATCTCTTACACTGCACATACGTTTCAGCGTTTCGACCTGTCGCAGGGATTGAAAGTATAATCACGTGCCTTCGAACGGGCTTCGTTGAAATTCCTATGCGATACAGCAGGAATCAAATTTAGCAAGATTCGTTCAGATACATTCGCGTACGGTTGAAGGGTCACGGGATGCCTGGTATGCAAATAAATCGTTATTTCGCGGGTTTCGTTAAATCAACTAAATTATTCCGTTAAATCGCTGCGTCGCCGTGCCGAGTCCGCGCCGTGCTGACGTTTTCCCAGTTCCACACCGGCCGAAAGTGAGTTACGCCGTTTCAATCGTCGGAATGAAAAGTGTCAAAGGACGGCATAAATCTGCACGTTCGAAAACAAAGCGCGCCGGCCTCTGAAAACGAATATTCAGTGGAAAATATCGCGCCTCTCGCGCACCCCGGTTATTTAAACCGGCGGTATTTTCTACGAAAGCGATGGATCCGCTCGTCAAGATAAGAGCCTGCAATGTTGTATCGTGCGGTTTTTATTTTATTTTATTTCTCTACATTTCGATGTGGAAGCGCAGGTTAGCGCGCAAATATTGAGCTTGTTTTCGTAAACGCGCCCGGGGAGTCTTTCGGCAATTCAGTCCATGCGATTAAAACTGAATTAAATTACAAAACTACGGCGAGTCTTGCGCGCCCATAAAGTACCGCGAATAAAAGTACGCAACGGCATAACTTGTTAACGCGGTTAATGCCCCGGCCTCGAGATAATTCAGGAGGATGCGGCCTAGAGAGAGGGAGAGGGAAAAAGAGAGACAGCGAGACGCCGCCGTACGCTTAAAACATTTAATCGAGGCGTCAAGGATGAAAGTTCGCGCCGATCGATACATAGAACGCTCAACGATCGCAGAGATACGGATGAGTAACTGTACACTTAATCCTCTCCGCCTGTTTCTCCTCTTGCCTAGTTTTTCTTCTTTTCTTTTTCTTCTTCTTCTCCTTTTTTTTTGTTTCTCTTAGTACTCTTTTGCGCGATCGTAGCTCGTCTGACACTGCACTCGACAGGAGGGCACTACAGATTACTACTAGCGTACGGAGCGTTTCCACTCCAAGGTTCCTCGAGATTTATCTACTTTATGGAACGAAGACGGAGCTTAGGGGGGGGGGGAAGAGGTTCCGTCGCGCCTTTATAGTTAATCACACGAGGTATAACACACGTGTATCTCATTTGCGTCTCGTCGTTGCTCCAGGTGATCGTTTAACGACGCCGGTAAACGCGTATTGCCGCGGTGAGACGCGTCGTAACTGAATATAGACGTGATGTTAGCGTTTTACAGGTAATGCTTTCGCTATTGTATCGTATCGGGAGCTCGCGAATTTCTGGATATTTGCACGAAAATCTCACATGATTCGAAATTCCGCGCGTTCTTACAGCAAACGCGCATACTATGCGAATAGCAATAAAGCGAGCTCGATTCCCGTATTTATTAGCGACAATTTGACCAATGACGAAAATATGCGTGCCCCGGTGATGCGGGGCAATGCGAGATATTTTATGCGAGAAATTATTTATGAAATTTTACATATGCTATCGTGAAACATATATCGGAAACGCGCGGAAATTGGAAAAATATGCCTCAGTCCGAACGTCATTAAGCGCAAAATACAAAAGGCATACACGTGTCTATACGTAGTGTGTTTGCAATATCGGAAGGTTAAAATGATAATTTGCGCACGCGCCCGCGCAATCGTTATAAAGCGACAGTGAAATTCAGGTATGTCGTAACGTGACATTCTAATTTTCGTAAATTAATGTTGCACAGCGGGCAGGATAAAAAAAGAACAATTTTCTCTCTCTCTCTCTCTCTTTCTCTCTCTCTTTTTGTCGAAAATAACGTGTATGATTTTAACGTATATAGTTATAGCGTAAAATATATTTATATTTCTCTTGGTTTATACACGATCTGTTCAATAACATATTACATGATATAAACTAATTGTCAGAGAAATGCTCTTCCATCAAATTAATATAGATTATAGTATATTTCATAATTATTACACGGTAAGAGATCACACATATCTCTCGTGTTACGTGTCGTTGAAACAATTCCATTGACAAAACATAAAACTACCGATGTTTTTACGTTACTTTAATTGACGCCGCGCGGCGAGCACTGTGTAAATTAATAATCTAGAAACAAAATTCCATCCACGAACTTAGTTTATTGACAATCGTGCCGTCCCCGTGCGAACGTGCACGGAATATAATCGCCACCGTATTCCAAAGTGACAACGCCAACTAGATATATAGTTCATCCTTTATTAAATTTCAATGTATCGAGTCGTGACGATAAAATGTAGGTAGGTATCGAGCCCCAAGTGCGAAACGTAAATGCTCACCACTGTATATCCCGATATTCCCGAGCTCTAAAAAGAGGGAGCGAAGTTGTAAAATTTCGCCCCTTCGCCTTTCTTCCGACAACTGTCTCTATACCGCCGGTTTATCGTTCGGAAGTACCGGGTAGACACGTATCTCTTATGGGGCGATAGAAGAACGAAGGGGGGCTACGGGGTCGCTGCGCGACAATTACACTATTAAACTTCGCGCGACGCAACTCGCAGCCATTCTTTCCTTAATTACACGGTAATTGATCAACTCGCATACGGCGTCGCGCTGCAGATTTACCGCCGGCTTCGCGCCATACGTGTCGATTCTTTCGCGCGAATCCCCCAACAGCGCTGCCTGTGTACGTGTGTGTTTGCTCTCGGCAAGACACTGTATACGGCGAGAAAGAGAAGCCTCGAGTGAGTGGTAGACGTAATGGAACGAGGGGG